AGTTATACCTGATATATTTCTCACTGTAGCTACAGAGCCTGCATGGCTGTTTTATTCCACAATAGTTTGTGAAAGAGATAAATTGTTTCGACACCCAGTCAGTATACAAAAGAGGGATGTTTCTTTTATACTGTATTTAACAGGAGTTTGGCTCACTCTCTTCTTAACCTATTTCAAGATTTTCTTTGTTGCTAAAGCAGCTAATTCAGCTGATGGAAAAGCTAAAAAGGCCAGAAACACCATCCTGCTTCATGGCTTTCAGCTCCTCTTATGTATGCTGACATATGTGTACACTATGTTCAGAAATTCACTGGTATATTTGTTCCCTAATAATTATTTACATGTCCTCTTTGTTTGGTACATCATCATCCAGATTCTCCCCAGGTTCATCAGTCCCATTGTATACGGACTACGAGACAATGTCTTTAAACAGCRTTTAAGAAAACATTTGCTCTGTGTTATGAAAACAGGAAATAAATCACAGCTTTCAGTGAAACTTGTAATGTTTTCTAGAATTGAAATTACACAGAAAAGATTTGGGAACAAATAGCTTGTTTTTGTTTAATACACTGATGTTTTAATCACACCGTACAGAAACAGGTTTTGTTTTTGTTGCACCTAATTATTAAATGCCACTAGTTGGAGAAAAACCCTGAATATCTGACCTCATCTAACTCTATTTTATGTTTTGTGTTATTTTTTAGGGGTGTAAGAAAATATTGATACACTGAAATATTGTGATAGTTCATTTCCCAACATGGTATTGATCCTCTAAAGCCCTGTATTGATTTTTAAATAAGGTTGAAAATGTCTACTTTCCAGCCAACGGTTCATTTTTATGTTGTAGTTCAGGCTCTGACCACTAGTTGGCAGCAGTGAGCCAGCCATTCGGCTCATTGTGTCCCGAGGAACCAGAGAGTCTCAGTACTGATGCAGCCAAATGTAACGACCATATGAAGCACATTACATTGAAATGACTGGTGTTCTTGCGCTCCCTCCTTAAGATGCCCCGTGAGAGAAACACTATTGTCTGCTGCTCTTAATGTCCGACTCCGACTGATCGCGTCCAAGTCCTTTATCCAGCTGTGTTTGCTTCTAAAAAGGTTTTGTTTTAAGAAACTTAGCTATGTTGTTTAACTCCTCCATTTCTCATGGTTTGGGAACCTGCCCTGCTGTACTGTATTGTGGGAAAAACTTATTACACTCACCGGCCACTTTATTAGGTACACCACACTAGTAACGGGTTGGACCCCCTTTTGCCTTCAGAACTGCCTCAATTCTTCGTGGCATAGAT